GCGCCCAAGAACTCTCCCGTCCCTCCTCAGAAGGCCACGTGCGGAAAGAGAAAGCGCCTGTTCCCTCTGCTGAAACGTTCTTCCCCAGATCTCCCCTGGCCTGCTCCCTCTCATCCTGCAGTCTCTGCTCAAATGTCACCTCTTCGTAGATGCCTTCCTGGACCCCACCTTAAAAGTGCTGCACCCCAAATCATTCTCTTACCACAGCCCTGTTGCAGTATCTTCGCCCACTTCTCACATCTTTGTACACCTTCCCATAGTCTACCTCCCCCACTTAGAGGGCACCCTCCTGGAGAGCAGGACCCCCACCCGCGTGGCTCCCTGCTGCTTCGTCCACACCCAGCTCCCTGCCAGGCACACAGAAGGTGCTCCGTGGATGTTGAAGGAGTAAAGAAAGGAAATCCCAGCTCCACCTCTCACTAGCTGCATGACCTTGTATTAGTGCCTTCACCTCTCTCAGCCTCATTTTACCACCTGTAAAATTGGTATTCAACTATTTGAGTCATGAGGCTAAAATGAAATTAAGGAGTTTGTCACTTACAAGCTGCTGTGCTAACGTCAGCCGTTATTAGCAACGATGAAAAGTTAGTCATTCAATTGCCCAGAGAGTCTGCGCCTCCCCACGCTGGAAGGCGCTGTGAAATCCCCACCTCCTTTCGAGAAAAGAGCACCTGCCCTCACACCTATGCTTTTCTGGCAAGAATACTAAGTTTTGGGGGGTTTTATTTTTTTATTCCTCACCTGAGGATACTCCTCTACTTATTATCAGATAGAGTGAGAGGGAGGGAGAGAGACAGAGAGAAACATCGACGTGATAAGAGCCACACCGACTGGCTGGCCCCTGCATGACCCGACCAGGGCCGGGGACGAACCTCAACCAAGGCACGTGCCCTGACCGGAACCAAACCCATGACTTGTTGGTCTGTGGGCCGACGCTCCAACCGCGAGCCAAACTGGCCAGGGCAGTTTTTTATTTTACAGTCTCTAGAATCGGAATATGAACGCCCTGGGTGCAGTATGCATTTCCTGGGCGCTCTGTGTGCCAAGCACTGTGGTGGGCCAGGGGGCTTCCTCCAGGAGTAATGCGGCCCAGGCTGCAGGGACCCAGAGTCTGGGTTAGGAGAGGTGGGGACACTGGCACAGAACCAGATGTATGGTAAGCGTGGTAATGGAGGGCTCTGCCAAGTGGACACCCAGAGGAGAGGACCTGTCCTCAGAGGTCACTCGTGCACCCAACAAACATTTTCCGAACACCAATGATGTGACAAGCACCGTTCTAGGAGCTGGGCATACAACAGTGAACGAGCCATGTAAGACCCCACCTCTCCTGAGGCTTATTGCTAGTGAGGAGATGATAAACAAGTAAACAAATAAACAAACAAGATAATTTTAATGGAGATACATGTTAGACATTCAGTAAAATACCAGTGGGATTCGCAGAAGCAGCAGGAGCCAGGCTGCCTCCTGAGTCTGAAACCTCAGTATCACTACCCCACTGCTCAACCTAGAACCTCTCTGTGCCTCATGTCTTCACCTGTAAAATGGAGAGAATAATAGACCCTACCTACCTCACAGGGCTGTGGTGAGAAGTAAGTGAGTTCATGTAAGTCCTTGGGATAGTACCGGGTTCATGGCGAGGGAGAGTGAGTGCGGACAGGGCAAGGCCACGCAGAGGGCTGCTCAGGGAAGGCCAGTCTGTGCAGGACACAGTGAAGACCTAAGCGGGATGCATCCAGGCAGCAGGGAACAGCAGGTGGAGAGGTCTCGGGCAGGAATGAGCCTGGGTATGGCCCAGAAAGAGAAAGCAGCCTGTGGGAAGCTGCTGCTTAGAAACTTGCAGGCCATGGACAGAAGGGACTTTTGTCCTCAGGATCAAGGTAGGCCACCGAAAGATTTTAAGCGGGGGAGGGAGGTTGGGCTTGCTCTGATTTCATGTAAAGGAGAGTCATTCCAACTACATCCGGTGGAGAAAGGACAGTGAGACAGGCAGAAAGAGGCAGCACGGGGGTGAGCTGGGAGGGGTAATGGAGGCAAGATCTCCCACCCAAGCCCAGGGACCCACTATTAAGAATGAGACAGGATACTTCAAATCCTCCTCCATCTGGGGTGGGCAAGGACGCCTGAGCTAAAATATGGGAAAGATGATTAAACTCTGATACATGAGAGAGAGAGCCCGCAGCAGATGGCCTGTGGGCCCACAGCAAAAAAAAAAAAAAAAAAGCAAATACATGATCCAAGCAATTAATAAAAATACATCTCCCCTTATAATCTACAACATTACAACATACTACAACTTACTATTGATATTCATTACACTCACATTAGACAACTGCTTATTTAGTGCGCAAGGTAACATGCTAAATTCATTTTCTCATTTAATTCTCACAAAATCTATCCATTCATTTAACAATTCAACAAATGTGGATTACCAGGCACTGTTCTAGGTAAGCCAAAGCCTCCACCCCCACAGAGCTTACACTCTAGAGGCAGAGACAGGGCCTAAACATGAAAACAAATATTTCAGAGTTCAATGAGAACTATAAAGAAAAAGCAGCCCTGGCCAGTTTGGCTCAGCGGTTAGAGCGTCGGCCTGCAGTCCGGAAGACCCGGGTTCGGTTCCCGCTAAGGGCACGTACTTCGGTTGCAGTTTGTCCCCGGCCCTGGTTGGTCGTGCGGGTGGCAGCCGCTCGATGTGTCCCTTCACGTCGATGTTTCTCTCTCTCTCTCACTCCCTCCCACTCTATCTGTACAAAAAAATGGAAAAATATCCTCGGGTGAGGATAAAAAAAAAAAAAAAAAAGAAAAGAAAAAGCAGAGGTGGGGGGTGGAGAGGGGTGGAAAGGGGAGCAGCTGTTTTAGGGATGGTGGTCAGAGAAGATCTCATTGAGGAGATAACTGGAGCTTTGACCACCATGTGAGAAACAACCCTAGATGAACAGAAGTAGACACTGAGAATCCAAACATGAGGCCGGAGATGGTGGGGAAAACTGGCATTCAAGGTGTATTTTGAGCCCTGGCCGGTGTGGCTCAGTTGGTTGGGGGACATCCATCACCCAGTGCACCCAGAGGTTGCTGGTTGCATTCCGGTCAAGGGCACGTGCCTGGGCTGCAGGCTCAATCCCCGGTAGGGGGCATGCAGGAGGCAGCCAATTGATGTTGTGCTCTCACAGGGATGTTTCTCTCTCCCTCTCCCTTCCTCTCTGTCTAAAAATCAATCAACTATAAAAAATAAAAATAAGTTTTATTTTTTACTTTTTGTATCCTCACCCAAGGACATTTTTCATTTATCTTCAGATAGAGCGGGAGGGAGAGAAGGAGGAAGAGAGAGAAACATCGACGTGAGAGAGACACATCGAGTGGTTGCCACCCACACGACCCCAACAGGAGCCGGGGACAAACTGCAACCAAGGTTTGTGCCCTTAGCGGGAACTGATCCTGGGCCTTTCTGGTCCACGGGTGGACACTCAAACCTCTGAGCCAAACCAGCTGGGGCTAAAAAGATGTATTATGAAAAAAAGATGAAGAGAATTGAGTAAAAGACTGCATGTGGTGGGAAAGGGAAAAGGAGCTGGCAATGATGAATACAAGGTTTTGCATGGAGCACCACTCACTGGGGACCATTAATAACAATGAGGAAAACTGGAAGATGAGCAGAGTGGGAGTGAATTTATCGAAACAAATACTGCTATTAACATTTTCATTTTACAGTTAAGCAAGCAGCTTTAGAGGGTGAATAACCTGCCCGGGTTCACCCAACTGGTAAGTGGAATTACTAAGTATTTTCACATACTTTTATTTTTACCCTCATGGCACCCCCTCAGTAGCATCTCCAATTTACAGGTAACTGAGGAAACTGAGGCCCAGCTAGAAAGTGGCAGTCAAGACTGGATATCAGATCTAATAGCTGCTATATTCTCCAATAAAGAAGACAGGTTGGGCCCTGGCCGGTTTGGCTCAGCGGTTGGGCGTGGACCCATGCACCAAGAGGCCACCTGTTCAATTCCTAGTCAGGACACTGCCCAGGTTGTGGGCCTCATCCCCAGTGGGGGGCATGCAGGAGGCAGCCAATCAGTGTTCTCTCTCATGGATGTTTCTCTCTCTCTCTCCCTTCCTCTCTAATATCAATAAAGAAAAAAGTTTTGTTTTTAAGAAGACAGGTTGGGAGACTGATAAGGAAAACCTAGGAGACGGAAGAAGAGGACCTGAGGTTTGAATAAAATCGCGCCCTCAGATTCACGTTCAGTGTTTTGAATTTCCCAGTAAGACTCCAGGACAAACCCCGTAGGCTGGGAGCTGCGGAAGGACGGCACTGCCGCCCGCGGGGGGCAAGTGCTTCCGAGGAGCCGCTTCAGACTAAGAATCACAGTTGCTAATTCAGAATGCCGGTCCCTGGGCTCCGGCTTGGACCGACGTGAAGAACCACCTAGGGAAGCGAGCCCCGGGAATCTGCATTTCCCAATGAGCGCTCCAGACATCCTCGACGCACGCTCAGTTTGCGAACTGCGTACGTCTAGTTTGAACCCTAGCGGCCACCTCCTAAATTAGCAGCTGAACAGGTTACTTAGTTTCCGAAACTGTAAACGATGAGGGCGGGGGGTTGAGAGGCGGAAATAACAATAAAACATGCCTAAGACGCTCGACTTGCCCGACCTGTGAGAATCAAGCCACGTGATTGGTTAGAAAAGGCAGGAACCTCGGGTCACTATGGGATACAGAGGGGCCGACGTGTCCCGTAAAGCATTGTGGGATACAGAGGGGACGTCGGTCGCTCCCGCCTCCAGTTTTGGTGCACGGCCGCCACGTTTCAGAAAACCCGAACGCCCTCTCGGAGCGTCGCCGAGCGCTCCATGACGGAACTGTGAACACCCTTCTTGCAGCTAGGCGCCTAGAAGGCTACTGAAGACACCTCGCGAAGAGCAGTGACAAATTTCCGGTGTGCCTTCGCTTTACGACCGGAGGACGCGAGAGCGCAGTTTACGGCAACACCGGTCGGGTTTACGGCGCCGGTCGCTGCGCGCGCACCTTTTCTCCTTTCCTCGTTCTTCGGAGTGCCTCCGATAGCGAGGTCTCTGGCGCGGACTATCTTTTGCCATCTGGGCCGGCTGAGGCCCTTGCAGGTGAGCGGCGTGTTCCGTAGGGTTTGGGGGACCTCTGGAGTCGGCTTGGTCGGGGCCCGGCCTCCAGAGGCCTCCCGGAAGAGACCCCCGGACGTCCCCTCCTGCTGCCGGTGTCCCTTCGTGGGAAGTGCCAGGAATCTGCCTTCCGGCCCCAGGTCTAGCGCACTGCGGGGTGCGTGGCACGGCCTTGTGGGTGAGGTCTCTGCCCTAGACTCCGCTTAGCGGCCAAAGATTGAGCAAATTTGATAATGTCACCTAACCCCGCTGGGTTTCAGGGTCTTTTTTAAGTGGCCAAAGTTTGAGTTTCTATGAGGTCCAAGGAGTGCCAAGCTGAGTGGTGTTCGGCCTGCCTGCAACAAGGCCCCGGCTGACTGCCCTGTTGGTGCCTCCCCATCCTGCCCCTGTAGCCAGAACAGCTGTCACACTGTTCTAACTGAAGGGCTTCGTTTCTCCTGCCGGTTCCATTCTGCTCACTTATTTTAAGTGTATGGAAACCCGGACTTGCAGCTCCAGGAAGAATGTCTGTCGGGCCTTGGGTGTGTTTCCTTCTTGAGCTGACAAAACAAGTCGATCTTTAAAAGTGTGTCTTGAGACATCTTGTCGTGCTATTAATATTAAGTACGGTCTGAAACCCCAGATCTTTTCAGGCTGCTGTCCAGCTAGAATATAATGGGAAGAGTGCTGGACTTAACAGCAGACAGCCCTGGAATTCAGGTCTATTTGGAAATGGTGGGTAGATCAACCTCTTGATTTGGCTGAGTTGCACGTTTTTATCTCTAAGGGGGGTGTTGGGGAGTTAGTGGTGTTAATGTATCTAGCGTGGTGCCCGACACTTAGTAGGAGCTCAGTAATTATTTAACGTGAACTGTTCTGCAACAGCCACCCCTTCCCTCGGTCCTCTTTTTTTTGTAGCATAACTTAAGTTCAGAGTTGGCAGATGGAGCTCGCAGGTTAATTCCGTAGCCGGCCCCCAGCTCCTATTGCTGTCACACCAGTTCCCTCTTGCTGTCACCTCCATAGAGAAGCCTTAGTCTCCCCATCGTGGGACAGTGAGGAGTATTACTAAGTTTGGTATCCTGTGTTCTTCTGTTGCTCTCCAGCCTCTGGAAATATTTGTGTATAATGAGTTTTCCTCTGGGAACTCACTATCGCAGCATTTGCAGAGGATGTAATGGACAGGTGCATGGGGTTTTGATAGGACCTGTCCGGCATCTGTCAAACGTTTGTTGGGAAGCCCTGGTTTTGACTCTCCTGAGAGGAGCTATAGCATTAGGCAGAGTATGGACTCAAGCTGGACTGCCAGGGTTCAAATTTTTCATCAACCAGCATTGTGACTTTGGGCAAATTTCTTAACTTCTCTGTGCCTCAATTTTCTTATCTGAAAAGTGGGGCCAATACTATGGCCTCTACCTCAGACTGTTGGGGATTTGATAAATATGCATGGTAAACACTAAGAAGAATGCCTGGTACTCAAATACTTATGAATATTTGATGTATGGCCACTTTTATGACTGATGGTTTCAGGTGACCTCCTCAGCCCTCTGTAGGGCTTTTGCTGGGTTCTGTGTCCACCTACTCTGCATAAGGATTTGCATTGATGGCAGAGTATTGAAGAACAAGAAAAGAAAGTTGACTCAGGACATACTTTTTCTCAGCACTCTGTAAATGTGTTTTTGCAAGTCTGAATAGTAGTTGTGTAGCATTTTACAATGAAAGCACTTCTGTGTGTGTTAGCTAGTAAAACAAAGAAGTTAGTTATTTTATACATGAAGAAATAGGTTTAGGGAAGCTAAATATTTTATGCCTTGGTGATGGTGTTTCTGAGAACCTGAACTTGGTTATTATACTTGGGAGGAAAAGTTACTAGCCCAGCCGGTGTGGCTCAGTGGATTGAGCGTCGTCCAATGCACCAAGAGGTCCTGGTTCAATTCCCGGTCAGGGCATATGCCCGGGTTGCAGGCTCAATCCCCAGGAGGGAATGTCCAGGAGGCAGCCAAGTAATGTTACTCATCGATGTTTCTATCCCTCTCTTCTCTTTTCCTCTCTATCTAAAAATCAACAAAAACATATTTTGTTTGTTTTGTATCCTCACCTGAGGACATTTTTTGCATTTATCTTCAGATAGAGCGGGAGGGAGGGAGAGAGAGAGAGAGAAACATCGATATGAGAGGGACACATCGAGTGGCTGCCACCCACACTACCCTAGCCGGGGCCCGGAACAAACTGCAACCGAGGTACATGCCCTTAGCGGGAACCATACTCGGGTCTCTCCAGTCCGGGGGCCGACATTCTAACCGCTGAGCCAAAACTGCCAGGGCAACAAAAACATATTTTTAAGAAAAGAAAAAGGAAAAAGTTAACACATTTATCAAATCTATGAGACATCACCAAGTTTGAGAAGCACTATTATTTTATGTAGCATCATTATTTTATATAACACTAAAAAAGAAAAACTGCCAATTAAGATATGACACCCCACCAAGCATGAAGTGCAAACTCATTTCAAAGATGTTACAATGGCCCTGGCCCGGTTTGGCTCAGCAGTTAGAGCGCCGACCTGTGGTCCAGAGAGACCCGGGTTCGGTTCCTGCTAAGGGCATGTTCCTCGATTGCAGTTTGTCCCTGGCCCTGGTTGGGTTGTATGGGTGGCAGCCACTCGATGTGTCCCTTTCACGTTGATGTATCTCTCTCTCTCTCCCTCCTTCCCTCCCTCCCTCCCTCCCGCTCTGTCTGAAAATGGAAAAATGTCCTCAGGTGAGAATAAAAAAAATAAAAGTAAATTAAAAAAAGATGTTACAGTGGGGAAAAATATCAACGGAATACGGTAAATTCGTTTTGTTAGCAGTCTTCTTCCCCCCACTTAATTGACTTTAGAGAGAAAGGAAGGGAGAGGGAAAGAGACATCTAAACATTAATGAGAAAGAACATCGATTGGCTGCCTCCTGCATGCCCCCCACTGGGGATTTGGCCCACAACCTGGGCATGTGCCCTGACTGGGAATTGAACCAGCAACCTCTTGGTACATGAGTCGATGCTCAACCACTGAGCCATACCTTCCAGTCTGTTAGCAGTCTTCTTAGTTACAAGTATTCACAATATTATTTACAAGAAAACAAAGAAGTAGCTAAGAGTTGAGAGTTCCCTTTCATGTGCTGCTTTTTTTAATCATTTATATCTTGGCTCACCTCAAATAGGCTGCTTTTTTTTTTCAACCTTAAAGCCTTTCTTCATGCGGCTACTTGCATTATTTGTATATTTAAGGTTTTAGAAGATGGCAAAGTTCATGACACCCGTGATCCAGGACAACCCCTCAGGCTGGGGTCCCTGCGCTGTCCCCGAGCAGTTTCGGGATATGCCCTACCAGCCATTCAGCAAAGGAGATCGGCTAGGAAAGGTACCTGCCTGTCAGCGGGAGTCTGAATCTTTAAATCTGGGGCTGCTGCTCTCTCTGAGTTCATTTCCATTTTATTCTCTCAAAAGCATTACTCCTGTGTTCCTTATAGGGACACCAGCTGAGAAAGGTTATAACCTCTGGATACTTCCAGTAGTCATAGGAGAGCTGGATACTTACAAAGGCATTGTGAGCCAGTCCTTCTGCTACCTTCCCACACTGTGTCCTCACTTTGGGGGATTTCTGGGTCAATAGAAAATTGCCTACTTGACCTGTGTGCTCTGTCTTCCCTTGTTGCTCTTACTAGGTTGCAGACTGGACAGGTACCACATACCAAGATAAGAGGTACACAAGTAAGTATTCTCTGATGGGCTGCCTAATCAGGGGATTGGGGAAATGTTACTTTTTTGGTAACCTCCACCTGAAAGTGTTCTAGGATGGAGAAAAAAATGCTGATAATAATTCATAGTTTTTAGGAGCATATTATAAACTGTGGACACTACTGCATTTTGGGGAAGTAGCCCCCAAAATTAGACTATTTATTAAAGAAGTTTGACCTTTTATAGTGGGGTATTTTCTCCCCAGTTCTGAGAAGCCATGAACCCTTTTATAAATCTGTTGAACATATTCCCATTTTGCATTTCATTGCTTGAGGCTTACTGAACCTGTGAAGCCAAGCATTGGATCCTAGTTTTAAATTTCTGGTTTTAAGATCCCAATACAGTAAATTGTTTTTTTCTCAGAGATAGTTGGAAGTGGCTATCTGGAATAGTAAGTTAAGATTATCTGAGTCTGAGGTCAACAAGAAAGTAAATCATAACCCATTAGATATGTCTGCCTTGGGTACCAGAGGATGACATTGACGGTACTTAAACCCCATATTTGCCTCTCCTGCAAAAATAAATTTTAACTCGTTCTTGCAGAATAAGACAGATAGTGGAACAGGCTTATGTTGAGTTCCTCAGATCTTGTCTTGGCTTAAAAAGTTGGTTTTTTTATCCTTACCCGAGGACATTTTTTGCATTATCTTCAGATAGAGCAGGAGGAAGAGAGGGGTGGAGAGAGAGAGAGAGAGAAACATCAATGTGAGAGAGACACATTTACTAGCTGCCACCCACATGACCCCAACCAGGGCCAGCGATAAACTGCAACCAGGGTACATGCCCTCAGCAAGAACCGAACCCAGGACTCTGGTCCTTGGGTAGACGCTCTAACCACTGAGCAAAATAGGCCAGGGCTTAAAAAGTTCTTTAGACCAGCCCGGCCAGTGTGGCTTAGTGTATTGAGCATTGTCCTGCGGACTGAGAGGTCTGGGTTCAATTCCTAGGGGGTGTGCAGGAGGCAGCCTATCAATGTTCCTATCTATCTTTTCCTCTCTAAAAATATCAATAAAAACCCATTTTTAAAAAACAGTTATTTAGACCAGAGCTTTTCGAACTTGAATGTGCATATGAATCACCTGGGTATCTTTTTTAAATGCTGGTTCTGAGTTAGTGGGTCTGGAATGAGGCTGTGAGTCTGTGTGTCTAAGATGCTCCCAGCTAATGCTAAGGGTCCCAAGACCACACTTGAATTGCAAGGCTTTACGCTAGTGTGTATTTGATAAGTCTGTAGACAGTGGTTGTTACACACTGTCACCTTTGCCTCCAGATAAGTACTCCTCTCAGTTTGGTGGTGGAAGTCAGTATGCTTATTTCCACGAGGAGGATGAAACTAGTTTCCAACTGGTGGATACAGCACGCACACAGAAGACCGCCTACCAGCGGAATCGGATGCGATTTGCACAGGTAGGTTAAGAATCAGCAGTCTGGCCATCTCAAGTCTGGCCATCTTAGGGCTGTCATCTGCTGCGAAAAATGTAACCCTGTGAATACTGATGAGAGGAAAACATGTTATAGGTCTTCCAGTGAACCCCAAGGAGCAGTGATGAACTATACTAAAGTAGACTTGACTACATCCAGGGATGCATTAAATAGTTTAGATGTCTGTTGACCAGTAGGTAGACCATCGTACTCCTGTGCTAAGAATGATGTTTGTGCCAGATAAAAGGGTGCCTCTGCGCCTATTGCCTGACTTAATTGCTAAATTGACAGCTTTATTAAGCAGATGATCCAGTTGGACCACATCTTATTACATAAAGAGGCAAACTCAGCAACTGTAATAAGAACCAGTAAAACTGCTGCAGTAAAATATGTGTGTGAAGAAATGGAAGTCTAAGCTAACTCCAACTGCTTACTCAACTGAACACCCAGGTTGTTGATTATGTAGAGTAAAAGCAGAGCAAAATGTGCAACTTGGTCCTGGCTGGTGTGGCTTGGTTGGTTGGACCGTCGTTCCGTACACCAAAAGGTTGTGGGTTCGATTCCCAGTCAGGGCACATTCCTAGGTTTCAGGTTTGGTCACCAGTTTGGGAGTATGAGAGGCAAGCAATCCATGTTTCTCTCTTCCTTCCTCTTTCTAAAATCAATAAAACACTTAAAAATAATGAAACAAATTGTGCCACTTGGATTTTGCATTCTGAACTTAGGCTAATGACTTCCCATTAAATACTGCCTACTGTAAGGCAAATCTGCAAGATTTTAACATGGATGTTTTTTCCTGATTCCCAGCGGAACCTCCGCAGAGACAAAGATCGACGCAACATGTTGCAGTTCAATCTGCAGACCCTGCCTAAGAGCGCCAAACAGAAAGAGAGGTGAGGTTCCCGTCCTGCCAGAACAAGATATTCTTCCAGGACCAACACATTCTGAAATCACTAGGCCAAAGCAGGAGAAAGGATGTCTTCCCCACTATTGCAAAACACAAAAACACCTGTCTAAAGCAGTGCAAGCCACACTCAACTCTGACATCGCTCTCTAAGGACCACTTGCAGTCAAGGCAGATAGGATAAGCGAGAAACTACTTGCAATAGACATACATACATAGATAAAGGCAAGTAAAAGGCTTAGTTCTGCTGGATTACTACTCCAGGGGGCCTCATTTGCACTAAGCCCCATGGAGCTGCTTTGTGCAGCGGCCTGGCCCAGGTTGGGTCTGCCACTGGCCAGTCTACAGATGGAGTAAAATGTGAGGACAGTATGCCTCTTCTGTTCCTTTTTTTATTAAGTCTTTGTTTTTCTTAAAAATCTGCACTGAAAGCACAATTTTCCTGTCTTTCCAGAGAACGCATACGACTGCAGAAAAAATTTCAGAAACAATTTGGAGTGAGGCAGAAATGGGACCAGAAATCACAGGTAGTGTATTCGAACCAGAATTCTTACTAGGCATTTGGTTTTGTTTGGTTTTATAACCGCTTTGAGATATAATTCACATACTACACAATTTACTCTTTTAAGTATAATTTAATGTATAATTTAAATGTATAATTCAATGGCTTTTAGTGTATTCACAGAATTGAACAATCATAACTAGAGGCAGTGTCAGAACATTTGTATCACTCTAAAAAGAAACCCTGTATCCTTTAGCAGTCTGTCCATTTACTCATATAAATGGAGTCATGCAGTATGTGATCTTTACGGTTTCCCCATGTTGTAGAACATATCAGTTCTTCATTTTTTTGTTGCCAAATTCCACTGTATGGATAGACCACGTTTTGTTTATTCGTTCAGCAGCTGATGGATATTTTGGGTGGTTTTGACTTTTTGCTATTGTGAATAATGTTGCCGTCCACATTCCTGTACAGGTGTTTGTGTGGACATGGTGAGAACAGAAGGTAAATGCAAGCACGAGTGAAGTTGCAATTGTAGAAGTTAGGTTTTCTGGATCTGATGCTTGCTGTGTCAGGGTTAGATAGCTAATACCCTGAGCGCAATCTAAATATAAAGAGCTGGTGTTTCCGGGGACATCCTTAACTGGGGTGGCATTCCCATTTGTTTTTGAGCTCCTGCTCCCTCGCTTCTCTTCTAGGTTGAAAGCTCCTGAGAGTCGGGATTCTGTGTTAAAAACAGCCAACATGTAGTGAATGTCCGGGCACCTTTATTGGATAAAAGCCTTCATACTCTTAACCTGCCTCTTGCTGATGTTTTGCACTGTCTGTAATCTTTCCCCACAATGGTTTTCCACTTCAGAAACCCCGAGACTCTTCAGTTGAAGTCCGTAGTGACTGGGAGGTGAAAGAAGAAATGGATTTTCCTCAGTTAATGAAGATGCGCTACTTGGAAGTCTCGGAGCCACAGGACATGTAAGCGGCACCTTTACCTACCTTCCACCGTGCTGTCGTGTGGGTGGGCCAGTTGGTAGTGCATATTTTCCTAAGCCCTGATATTTCCAAAAAGGATTTAAGCCACTTTCCCAAAAACAATCAGTGCGGGGTGAGGGCAAGCAGAAAGAAGTGCTGATAATTAAACTTCAGATCTCTTCGAAGTTCCTGGCATTGCAAGCAAAAGAAAAAATAAGTTATATAGCACTTTCTGGGAGAAGGAGAACGGGAACAAAGCAAAAGCAGAAAGAAATTTGCTGATGTTTAATTCAAGATTTCTTTCAGCTTCCTGGAATCCTGAGCAAAAGAGAAATAAAATTACATTGTATGGCTCTTGAGGCAGAAAGAGAACGGGTTCTTTTCCTGGCATATTTTTTATATGGTTTTATTGATTTTTTTAGATAGAGAGGAAGGGAGGGGGAGAGAGAGAGAAACATTGACAAGCGAGAAACATCTATTGGCCGCCTCCTGCACACCTCATACTGGGGGTCGAGTCTGCAACCTGCATGTATTCTGACTGGGAATCAAACCAGCGACCTCTTGGTGCATGGGCAGTGCTTAACCCACTGAGCCACACCGGCTGGACTTTTCCTGACATTTTAGAGAGCACCTCACTTCACAGGGCAAGGAATGGGAATAACTTAATGGGCAGCTAGACCCAGATCAGAAGTCAACAGGCCTGGATGCCTGTCCCTCCTCATCACGGGTCTTTAAATGGGGAGGTTGAGCTGAGTCGGTTGTGTTCACATTCTTCTGTGGAGTCACATTGGGAGTTAAGGGACCAGGGACCTGAGTGAGCACAGAGTTCATCTCCTGTTCTACCGAATACTGTTTTCACCTCTCTTATGTATTAGACTTCTGGATAACACTCCAAAAGTCTAAAAAGACAACATAAAAAGTAGGTGATCTTACTTTACATGTCTTGTCTCCTCTTCCCACAGCGAGTGTTGTGGGGCCCTGGAATACTATGACAAAGCCTTTGACCGCATCACCACGAGGAGCGAGAAGCCCCTGCGGAGCATAAAGCGCATCTTCCACACTGTCACCACCACAGACGACCCTGTCATCCGAAAGGTGCGCACCCCTCTCCCACTCAACCGCCCACTAAGAACCACCAGTTTCTATAGCCGAGGCCCGGAAAGAACAGGACCCCGGGGGTTGGGCCTTGCAAAGCCCCCTAGATAAGAATCCTCTGGATCAGACTTAGGAGGAGATGGAAATAAAGGCACTCTGCTGGCTGACCATGGGTGCTGATGTCAAGTAAAGTTGGACTCAAGACCTGGCTCTACATGTGCTTCACCTCGCTGGGGCCTTCATTTTCTTATCTGTAAAATGGGGTAAATGCACTTACCATATGCCATTGGGTTGAGGATGACAGAAAGCATTGTCAAGTGCTTTCCTGGAACATGGCAAGTGCTCAGTGAGCTGCCGGCCCACGTGACCCAGGCTGCTGACTGCCAGCTGAGCTCACCAGCCGGCTGCTGCAGCCTCATTCAGACAGCTAGAGGTGCACGCACATGTGTTATGTGTGGGTGTAGCTGTGAAGGCGCCTTACTGAGGGGTCCTGTTCCCTCGGTGTGAATGGGCAGTCAGACCTAAGGGTCCTCACTTCTCTTCTCTATCCTCTGCAGCTGGCAAAAACCCAGGGCAATGTGTTTGCCACCGACGCCATTCTGGCCACACTGATGAGCTGCACCCGTTCTGTATATTCCTGGGACATCGTCGTCCAGAGAGTCGGGTCCAAGCTCTTCTTCGACAAGAGGGATAACTCTGACTTCGGTGAGAAGCCTGTCTGGGAACAACATAAGGGCACTGAGTGTTTTCATTGGTTCGGAGCAGTTCCTTGGTAATGGAGAACGGGTAGCAGATGTCTGTCTCCCCACAGGCATCGACAGCCATGTCAGACCCTCCCAGCCTCCGCAAAGACATGGAGAAGGAGCTGTCACTACAGTCCCTTCTTGGGGCATCAGCTTTCTGAGTCCTCACAGCACCCCAAAACTGCTTCCACATGTTGCTCATTTGAATAGTACTCTCATGACTTCTGCCATCTCTCCATACCATCTTTAGCATTGATGTTTTTTTAATTGATAGGTGATTTTTACTTCAGTGCATTTATAAAGGAAAAACATGTGTGGCTATGTTTCATACCATTCGTACGTATATACGAACGTGCCATGACTGAAAGCCAGGTCACTCGACAGTAATAGCAGTGCAACAAAACAGCATAGTTGTGCTCTGTGCCTCAGGCCTTGTCTTTGTTTGAAAACTAATGAAATCAAACATTTTCTTGAGGAATCCAGAAAGATTAGAAAGGGGTAGCTTTTTACACCGTGACTGAATTTAAAGTTAGAGAATATCTAAAGTTATCCAGAGCGCTTTCCCCTTTCCCCCCACGTCCCACCTTGGGAGACACACAGTGACAGATGGCATTTCTCTGAACGAAGGGCCTGTGTCATTTTGATCGCCACATCTACTCATGATGCCCTGCACGTTGTAAGTGATTCTTTGCTTTGTGAGTGGGTGACCATGCTGCCACTTTTGCAGACCTCCTGACAGTGAGTGAGACGGCTAACGAGCCCCCTCAAGATGAAGGTAATTCGTTCAACTCACCCCGCAACCTGGCCATGGAAGCAACCTACATCAACCACAACTTCTCCCAGCAGTGCCTGAGGATGGTGAGCAAGGGCGGCATCTGGACGTGCTTGTAGTGGGCTCTGGGCAAGACATTGGGGTCCCTACCTGTCGCTGAGGAGTTTCAAGCTTGGGCTTTGAGGTCGCACTGCCTGTCGGGGAACCCTGGCTCCGCCACTCCAGAGCTTTGTGGTGTCAGCACGTTTCTTCTCTAAGATTAGAACATACTCTCACACGGGACATTGTGAGGATTCCCCGGTTATTTGACCATGCGTTGTGGTGTGCAAATACAGGGTTCAGGTGCCAGGTTCCTGCCCTGGAAGCCTCATTATAATGGAGGAGGAAATACAAGAAACCCTAAAACATATACATGTGTGCTATGCTAATTAAATGAGATACATGGAGCACACAAGAGACACATGTAAGCAGTTGATAAACGCTGGCTGTTAACACCTGTTGTGATTCATCTGCTGTGCTTGCACTTGGAAGGGGTAAATAGACTGACGGACGACAGAGCTTCCTCCAAGGCTCCAGAGACCCGGCCTGAGCTGTAACTAAGCAGGGTTGCAGGGTCAAGCCTATTGGTTTGGCGAGAAGTTGGCACTGTCTTGTAACACTGTTGTCGTCTTTGCAGGGGAAAGAAAGATACAACTTCCCCAACCCAAACCCGTTTGTGGAGGACGACATGGATAAGAATGAAATCGCCTCTGTTGCATACCGGTATGTCACTTCTGGTGGGGTATGCACAGACCTGACCCTGTATGGGGTGAAATACCTGAAATTCAGGGTCTCGGGTGACCAGATTAAGTTCCTTCTTCATTGCAGGTATCGAAGGTGGAAGCTTGGGGACGACATTGACCTGATTGTCCGTTGTGAGCATGATGGTGTCATGACCGGAGCCAATGGGGAAGTGTCCTTTATCAACATCAAGACCCTCAACGAGTGGGACTCTAGGGTGAGGCTCACTGTCACCCTCATGGGGCTCCACATCTGTTTCCTGCAGGGCATGTTGTCACGGGCTAGTGTTTGTTTTCCCCTTGCGTTTCGTAGAGAGCTACTGAAATTTTTGTCTTCTGAGTTTTTCTCCACTTAATTCCTCATTGAGAAAGAGAATATATGTTTGAGGAAAACAGCTTCTTCCAGGACTTTCTCTCTCCTTTTCTGACCTCCCACTGGCTTCTGCTCTCTGTCAGCATCTGATTCTGATCTCTCCCTATGATCTGGGTTGGCAGGTTTCCTATAAACCAGGCAGCTCTTTTTTTGACCAGATCTTTCACTTACTGTAACTCCTACCTTCTCTTCAATCTTCCGATTGCTCCCAACTCCTTCACTTACTGAACTCGGAGGTTCTGAGATTGGCTGTTACTTGGCTCTTCAGGAGACACCTCAGGTGAACCATGCTTCCTTCATTTTTCCTCCTCTTTCCACTCATGCTGGTCACCAGGATTGTGTTGTTATCCTTTCGGAGCTGAATTTGAATTGGGTGTCAGTGCTCCTGGGTGCTGCCGTCCGGAATAAAGAGTTCTCCGTGGGAAGGACAGCTTCAAGGCCAGGCCTGGGTTGGAGGAGTGGCCAGTGATACGGAGCGCAGAGGTCATGAGCTCTGTCTTCATTAAAGCCAAGGGTTAGCTTAATGCTGCTCATTGTCACCCCAGATGTTCCTTGGTCTCCAGCCCCCACTGGAAGGCTGGCTGCGACCTTAGCTCTGGGCCAGCGGCCTTTTCTTAGACTTTCCATCATGGCCTCCTATAGCATTTGGCATTGTATCCATGTGGCTTTTCCCTGTGTCACTGTGTGCATGACTCGGGTCTCACACGTTTCTCAGCTTCCTTCACATATTTTCTTTGCTGGTTCCCCTCCTTTTTGATCCCTCGTGGACCCTTCTTTAGGGTCAGTCGTCTACTCGGCTCTTTCTGCCATACTTATTTCTTTATAGAGCCTTATATCAGTTTTCTTTTGCTCCATAACAAATTAACAAAAACTTGGCATCTTAAAACAACATCCATTAGCTCGTACTTTGGCAGGCCTGAAGTTCAGCATCATGTGGTTTGGTTCTCAGCTCAGAATATCAGAAAGCAGAAATCAAAGGTGCCAGCAGAACTGACTTCTCATCTAGAGGTGCTGGAAGGAAGCCTGCTTCCAAACTCATTCTGGTTGGCAGAATTCAGTTCCTTGAGTTGTGGGACTGAGGTCCCCTGTTCTCTTACCGCCTGTCAGCTGGGAGCTCTCAGCTCCTGGTGGCCACCCACATTCCTTACCATGTGGTCCTTTCCATCTTCAGCCAGCAACAGCACTTCAAATCCTTCTCGTGCTTTGAATCTTTGTCAGTCAGCCGCATTAAGCTAACCCTTGGCTCTAATGAAGGCAGAGCTCATGACCTCTGCTCTGTATCACTGGCCACTCCTCTGTCTCCAATCTCTGCACCCAGATTTAAGAGACTCAAACAGTTGGGTAAGGCCCACCCAGATGGTCTCCCTATCTTTTCTTTTGTCCCTTTATTTTTTTTTCTTTATTGATTTTTAGGGAGAGAGAGATAGAAACATCGACGAGAGAGAACATCGATTGGCCGCCTCCTGCCATGCCCCGCACTGGGGATCGGGTCCACAACCTGGGCACGTGCCCTGACCAGGAATCGATCTGTCCACCTCTTGGTGCGTGGGTTGATGTTCAACCACTGAGCCACACCACTTGGTCCCTATCTTTTTTTATAATCCTCACTTGACAATATCTTTATTGATTTTGTTATTTTTAGAGAGGGAGAAAGAAACATCGATTGGCTGCCTCCTGCACACACCCCAATCCAGGATCAAACCCACAACCCAGGCATGTGCCCTGACTAGGAATTGAACCTGCAACCTTTTGATGCATAGGACAATGCTCCAACCAACTGAGCCACCCAGCAAGGTCTGGTGTCCTATCTTAAGGGACCTTAATTACATCTTAAAATCCCTTTTGGCCCAGCTGGTGTGGGTCAGTGGTTGAGCATCAACCCATGCACCAAGAGGTCACTGGTTCGATTCCTGGTCAGGGCACATGCCCAGGGTGTGAGCCCAATCCCCAGTGGGGGCATGCAGGAGGCAGCCAGCCAATGTTCTCTCTCTAAAATCAATAAAGAAAAAAAGGCTTTTTTTAAATCCCTTTTGACATAATAATGGAACTGACATTTTATCCTAGTCACAGGTTCCACCCATACTTAGGGTAGGAGATCCTTCAAGGGCTAGGGTCCTTGGGGCCATCTTAGAATTCTGCCTTCCCCAAGCCTCAGCTTTGAACTCTAATTCACTCTGACTCCCCATTCCATTATTTTTCTGTTAAAATACCTTGTCTTTCCAATGTCCTCATTTCTTCTTTTTTTTTTTTTTTTTTTTATTTATTTATTTATTTGAGAGAGAGAGGAAGGGAGAGGGGGAGAGAGATAGAAACATTGATGAGAGAGAACATTGGCCGCCTCCTGCATGCCCCTCACTGGGGATTTGGCCCACAACCTGGGCATGTGCCCTGACCGGGAATCAAACCAGCGACCTCTTGGTGCATGGGTCGACACTCAGCCACTGAGCCACACCGGCTGGACCAATGTCTTCATTTCTGTCATTACCTCTGGTGTGGCTGACATCAGCCTTGTTTTTTTCCTACTCACTGAGGGTCAGAACCTCGGTCATCTCTGCACTCTTGGATTTCGCTGTGAGGTGCAGTCTGTCTTCTCACTCAGTTCTGGATCTCACTGATATCGCCCCAGCTTAGGACCCTAGTCAGTGTGCCTGTTACTCTGCAGTTGTCCTCACTGGCCTCCCTCACGTCCTCCTCCCCCACCTCATTCGGTTTATCTCTGCAATTATTGCCCGAAACACTGCTTCCGTCATGCAGCACAGATTTGGGGAAATACTTAAAATGCCACAGTAAGCCCACAAGGGAACTGCCAGGATATTTTTAATGTTTGAAAGAAACACAGAGACATCTGTCAGAATACTACTCCCAAGTGGTTTGGACCTAACTAGTTGGTAACAGGGACTCGCTGGTATTTCTTTTGGCCTAGGATTGCCGTGAACCAAGAAAACTTGGGAGTGTCTGCGATGTGATGTTCATCTAGTAGCTTCCCTCTGAGTCTAAGTTCCCACGTCTATAAAAGGGGTGGTTGGAGATGATCTGCTGTGTCTGTGTACGTACGTACATGTACAGCACCAGACTCTGACCTCCTCACTGTCTGCGGGCCTCCACCTTCAGCCTCGGCCAGTATTCTTGGCCTGGTTAGCTGCAGCTCTCCCTGCATGAAACCGACCGCACGCGCATAGGGAACACTTGCCTCTGCCACTTACATGGCGCTTGTTTGGAACTGTGTGCGTGTGTTCTTGTCTAGATCAGCCCTTTTGAAGAGAGGACCCACGATTTGTTGAGAGCCTGCTATGTGGCAGGCTGTGCAAGGGAGTGGCCGACCAGGTCTTTGCCTCTTAAATGATTTCCTGCGGCCTCTCCCACTTGCTAGTCAAGCCCAGTAGGGAGTTCCGTCTCTGCCGGAGGAGGTACCAGAGCTCCCCTTCTCTCCGGTCACTGGGGTTCCCCTTCTGCAGCACTGTAATGGCGTGGACTGGCGTCAGAAGCTGGACTCTCAGCGAGGGGCCGTCATTGCCACCGAGCTGAAGAACAACAGCTACAAGTTGGCCCGATGGACCTGCTGTGCTCTGCTGGCCGGATCCGAGTACCTCAAGCTTGGGTGAGATTCTTGCCCAGTTGTGAACTCATCATCTAGAAGGCGGTGTCTGCGGGCAGGGAGATGAGGGCTTGCCTTTTTCCCTTTCCCTTGGAAAAAACATCAGGCCAGTTGTCCCCATTTGACCGATATTTGTCCCCAGATGTCTCTGGGCCAGCCTGCCCCCACCACTAACACCCCATTACCCCCACTAGTTATGTGTCCCGATACCATGTGAAAGACTCCTCACGCCACGTCATCCTGGGCACCCAGCAGTTCAAGCCCAATGAGTTTGCCAGCCAGATCAACCTGAGTGTAGAGAACGCCTGGGGCATCCTGCGCTGCGTCATCGACATCTGCATGAAGCTGGAGGAGGGCAAGTACCTCATCCTCAAGGACCCCAACAAGCAGGTCATCCGCGTCTACAGCCTGCCGGATGGCACCTTCAGCTCCGATGAGGACGATGAGGAGGAAGAGGAGGAGGAGGAAGAGGAAGAAGGTTTGTACATGTCTCTTTCTGAAGTCTCAAGTGAGCGATGGGCTGGCCAGGGACCAAGCTATATGGCCACAGTGCTCTTGAACCTTGATGTAAAACTTTTTGAGGGTTCCCTGAGACTTGACTGGATTTGGAGTAGCGTTCTCTCTGGTCCGGGAGCTGCTCCAGGAGCCATTGGGTCACTTGAAGGGGATGGGGGAAGGTGGTCTTTCAGAGGCTGGGGTGAGGAAGAAGCTTCTAGAGAAGGACAGTGGGAGTCCCCGATGTCAGCCGGAGGCTGAAGGAGAAGAGCTGCTCCGGGTCGGTCACACCGTCTTGAAGCTGCCTTTGCTTCACCAGTGGGACTAAAGGAGATGTGTTAGCCCTGTGAGGGTCTGAGAGACTTCTGACTGGCTCATTTCTCTAACATTTTGTATCTTTCAGAGGAAGAAACCTAAGTCAGACGGTGGGGTGGAGCCTGAGTTGGTAAATCCAGCGAGCCTCAGAGGGCCTTTGATGCCTGGAGGAATGTTTGTCTGATACTTGCTCTCTGGAGTTTGACAGGTGGAATAAAGTAAAGTCTCTTTAGTCTCTTACCTTCATCCATGCCTGCGTTATGACTGACAGCCCTTCTTCTCCAAGCAGCCCGTGGGAGAGGAGGGGTAACATACAGAAGTTCTGTCTGGAGTTCTCTGGGTTCTTTCATTTGTTCTTGAGCGACTTTAGTTCTACCTCCCTGCTAGACTGGAGAATGGATGCCCTACAGTTTCTGTTCTCGGAGCCCCGTGAAAGTATCCTTTCCTGGAGAGCGTTGTCAGCTGTGAGGTCCCACAGCAGTCCCCGTGAGAAGTCCGTTTCCACAAGCATGAGTGCCTGCTGGTCGTGTGCCAGACCCAGCTACTGCCCTTAGAGACACAAGTCGCTAGTGAAAGGTGAAGCAGGGCAGTGTCCAGAGGTTGGGGTGGGGTTGCCGCTCACGGAGACTGCCTCCACAGAGTCTGCCACGTCCCACTGCATGGTGATCATAATGGTTTGACACTGTTTTCAGGCTTGGCATGGGCTGGGGACAGTCTCAAGCTGGCACTCAAAGCCGTGAGTTACAAATCCGAGCTGCAGGTGTTTAGCATATGTAAACTTATTACGAGCACTGTTTCTACTAAGGGGATAGTGTTCTGTTCTTGATACTGTGAAGTAATAACCCCGCCAGGTATATACTAAGCTTTTTAGATCTCATCTGAGCCTGACACAGAACTGACAGTATTGGTGGAAGTGATAACCATTGTACAGATGAAGCCGGCTCAGCTTTTGAATAACATTCCTAAAGTTACTATTTTAATCGAAATTGTGCCTCCTCAAAAAGCAAGCAGAATGTATTGGGCTTTGTTAGAGTTACTAGGAAGACAGAGCATAAAGCGTGCTGCTTAGGGAGTTTTCAATGTAGGCAGAGTGTTGAAAACAGATGAACGTGGTGTGACAGGGCCAGTGGGTTTCAGAGTTCAACTAATACCAAGTTGCTCTTGCAGACTAGCTGCATCCAGCAAGATCTGCTGAGCCAGGGGGCAGGTGGAAGTTAGTTTCACACTAACTCCAAACATTTTGCCTCAGCTTCCACATATTTCATTCCTTTGATCTAGTCCCCGCTTTCATCTGTCCTGGTTGGGGCCACCAAGGTGACTGCTGAAAATAGTCCTAACAAAAACCTTCGGTAGCTTCCTTCTGCCTACAATCCAGACTCAGCCTAGTCTCGAGGTCCTGCCACGCTTGATCAGCCCTAATTTCCCATTAACCAAGACCAGCAACGGTTCCAGGCACTTAAATTATTTGCCAGCGCCCATTCTTAAAGCTTCACAACCACAAGAGGCAGACCTTCCTACTTGATTTTTGGTTAGGTATTTCACAGGTGCTCATTGAGGAGCACGCCCTCAGATACTGGAGAAAGCGCTGCGGTCGTGAATAAGATCATTCTGCCCCAATGGAGCTTTTCTCTGATGCTGATACAGGCTATGAAAATTATAGACAAGTGGTATTTGTTAGTAGTTTCTTTGGTCTGAGAGGTTAGGGAAGACTAGAAAGGTTTCAATGAAAAGAAGCTCCAGCCATGCAAAGCTAGAATAGGAAGTTCTTTCCACAGTAGGCATGGCTGCCTTCCCATGAGAACCCTCAGCTCCATCTCACCGGACCACTCAATGCCTCTTCGTTCCTGTACTTCCCCTCATAAATGCACTGTGTTCTGCCCTTGTACATTTTTTTTTTAATCCTCACCTGAGGATATTTTTCCATTGTTTTTTTTTTGGATAAGGAGAAAGAGAAACATTGATGTCAGAGAGACATCAATTGGTTGCCTCCTGCGTGACTCTGACAGGGGCTGGGGATTGAACCTGCAACCAAGGTACATGTCCTTGACCGGAAATTGAATTCACAACTCTGGTCTGCGGGCTGACGCTCTAATCACTGGGTCAAACCAGCCAGGGCTGCCCCTGTAAATCTTGATAAAAATTATGACATTTTAACATAATTGGTCAGGGTCTGTGGGAGGACCTAGGGTTTAGGGGAGGAAGAGCTCTTTGGTGGTAACTGACCCTTAATTTCCTCTTCTATAATTTGCTCTTCCATTTTTATCTGGTTCAGTGCATACATGAAGCTCACCGTGTTTTTTTCTAAGTCCTTTTAATGAAGGAACTCCTTCCGTGATTGTTTTCAAGTTGACAGTCTCATGCAGGATCTACATTCCACCTCTGGGAAGCCAGCTAGATCTGTTCATTTGAACAGCAGTTCAGGATCACCTGCCATCCTCCACATCACCTCCACTTCAGCCACAGTTGCTGTGTATTAGCAGTGGGTCTATGTTTAAGTGTCTTATACTGGCCTATCATAGGCCACTTTATTTACCCTACCAGGCTCATAAAACATTCATGAGTGAATAAACATTTTGTAAAGAGCTCATAATTGAGTAAAAAGGGGGTTTTAATTCCAAGCTCCACTTCTTAATTGGGTGATCTTAAGCAAATCACCCCTAAACCTATGGAGGTTTAGGCCAATGGATATAAAATATTAGAAACAGAATCATGGACTACCTCACAGGTTGGTGGAAGATCAAGTCAGTCATGAATGTTTCTTAATAAACAATAGATTGAATCATTGTAGTGTCCAGGTTAGAACTTCAACACCTGTAAAGAACTTTTTTAAGATTTTATTTGAGCTCAGTGGGTGTGGCCCAGTGCACTGAGCATCGTCCCATGCAACTGGTTCCTTCTGAATCAGGACACATGCCTGGGTTGCAGGCTCAATCCCCTGTAAGGGGCATGAAGGATGCAGCCCATACATGTTTCTCTCCTCCCTTCTCTATCTAAAAATCAATAGAAAAATATTTTTAAAATTTTTTTAAAGAAATTCTACTTTGATGAATTTTTTTTTCTTTATTGATTTTTAGAGACGAAGGGAGAGAGAAACAAACATCCATGAGAGAAAAAATTGATTGGCCACCTCCTGCATGCCCCCACTGGGGATCGGGCCCACAACCTGGGCATGTGCCCTGACCGGGAATCGAACCGGTGACCTCTTGGTGCAGAGTCGACACTGAACTACTTGTGAGGCACGGGAGCTGACTATTTTTGGACGTAATTCCTGCTCTTACACTTTGGCCACTTAATGTAGCCAAAGATTAGTTGGCTACTGGGGAGCAACACCGGCTGGGCTTGGAATTTATTTTAAAACAAAAAGATTTGCCCGGCCAGTGGCTCAGTTGATGCACCAGGAGGTCACGGGTTTGATTCCCTGTCTGGGCATCTGCCCAGGTTGTGGGCCCAATCCCCAGTGGGGGGTCTGCAGGAGGTGGCCAATCAATGTTCTCTCTCATCGATGTTTCTATCTCCCTTTTCCCTCCTCTCTCTCTAAAATCAATGAAGAAAAAAATTAAATAAAACAAAGATTTTATTTGAGCCAAACAGGATATGCCTGGAAGAAGGACCTCAACAGACTGAGAAAAATGCCTCTCAGAATGACAGTTTGCAGCTTGTTACTTATTCGGAATTGAGGGGCGGGAACGTAAGATTACATGAAGGTGGGAGCATGCAAGGTGGGAATCATTACAGGAAAGTTAAAAGTATCTATGTTCTCTAGATGGTTCCACTTGAGGGGTCTGAAAAGAGGCGTTTCAAACGTGTGAGCCTCCATGCACAGAGACAATGGACAGGGCTTGATTAAGGGCAAGATAAACCTTTTTAAAGAAGTTGTATGCCTGGGGCATGACTACTGACAGTGACTTGCCCAGTTAGGAATTTATGATCAGATCATCCTGAGGTTACATTCTGTAAAACCCCTTTATTAGTCCACAGTAGCAAACACTTATTAACTGGTCTTTCTGTCCTGGCTTCACCAAACTGGTTTCCAGTCCCCAAAACCCGAGTAGCCAACTAGCCTTTGGCTACATTAAGTGGCCAAAGTGTAAGAGCGGGAATTACGTCCAAAAATGATCAGCTCCCGCGCCTCACAAGCGGAACAGCACAGCTTGAAAACAAGAGCCCGCACCCGGCACTTGGACCAGACCTCCAGCCCTGGCTCCCCAGCCCCGGCAGCACGTGCAGGCCTCCCCTGCGCCGCCTGAAGCTCCCCGCAGGCCCTCGGCCCGGCGTGCGGCGCGCCGCGCACGTGACCCCGCCCCCTGCCATTGGTCCGGCGGGAGGGGAGGGGCGGGGCGGCCTCCTTGGCGCGAGCCGGCGCCCAGCCCAGCCTCACTCTGCGCACTGCCTGCGGAGCGGCTGCGAGGTGCGAGCGCTGGGGAGCGGGGTGGGCCGGCCGGCCTGGGAGGCCCGAGCGGCGGGCGTGGGCACCGCGCACGCGCGGGGGGCGACTCCTAGCGAGTGCGCGCCAGCAAGAGGCGGCCTCGCGCCGGCGTGGCCGCAGGTGTGCTGGGCATCTCCGTCGCGTGACCGAAGAGGCCGGGCACCTGGCTGAGGGTGGGGTCCGTGCAGGCCACACCTCCTCCGGCGCCAGCCCCAGGGCGGGGCGGGGCCAAAGGGACCTGTGCCCCTAGGGGCGGCTCTCCCTGGAGAGGGCTGGAGCGGGTGTTGGACGTCCTTAAAATTAGGGAGAACATGGGGGAGTACCCGCCGCCTTACTACCATGGCACTAAGAAGAGGGCCGGTGCCCCTGGGAACCGAGGCCCTGAAGGAGATGGAGGGGTTGGGGGTTCCTGGAGGCATCTCCAGATCCGAGCTTGAAACCACAGCAAATGAGCTCAAGAAGTCCTTGAGTCCTGGCCCTGGCTCCTCCCCAAATAGCCGTGAGCACTGGGCCAACCTCCGGCTCTTTCCAGAACCCTCCTCACTCATTCCCAGGGCCTCGGGCCGTCCGTGGGCCGAGGCCTCGCCCATCTGGTCTGCCGCAGGATGGGCCTGTCCGGCGTGGCCCCAGTGTGGGGCCCCCCAGGGCTGCTCCTAACCATCGCGCTCTACCCGGCCCTCACCCTGCACCCTGCCAAGGCCTGGGCGCCACCACACCGGGACTACTGTGTCCTGGGCGCCGGGCCGGCGGGCCTGCAAATGGCCTACTTCCTGCAGCAGGCCGGGAGGGACTACGCGGTGTTCGAGCGCGCCCCGGGGCCCGGCAGCTTCTTCACGCGCTACCCCCGGCACCGCAAGCTCATCAGCATCAACAAGCGGTACACGGGCAGGACGAACGCCGAGTTCAACCTTCGCCACGACTGGAACTCTCTGCTCAGCCATGACCCCCGGCTGCTCTTCAGGCACTACTCCCAAGCCTACTTCCCCGACGCCAGCGACATGGTGCGCTATCTGGGCGACTTCGCGGGCAGGCTGGGGCTCCAGGTGCTGTACAACACAACCATTGCCCACGTTACTCTGGACAAGGATCGGCGGGCCTGGAATGGCCATTACTTCATCCTGACCGCCCAGAATGGCAGCCAATACCAGTGCAGGTAAGCAACGAGGTCCCAGAGGTCACCTGCTGAAACCAGGGCCTTTCCTGGAGGAACTGACACTTTCTGGTTGGCCAGTTGGTGTGGGAGGAATGGAAGAAATCTGCCACCCCTTACACTCACTGAAATTTAGTGCCAAAAGGTTTAGCTCAGCCATCATTTCCCACATGTGCCCTAAAAAGATTGTAATCAAATATGTTTGGAATATACTACCAATGCTTTCCTTCAATATTTGTGAGTCTTTGATAGCTTCATATTCACCACTGCACTCCAGCAACATTGGGTATTTAGCATTTTTGTAGAACATCTGCCAGAACTAGTGTTCCCCAAAATCCATCCTGAGACATGCTGTGTCTAGCAAGTGTTAGAGGGACCTAGTGGGATTTCAGAACTGAACAAAAGTGAGAAGGCCCTGCAGGCAGTACTACCAACATTCCGCTTTAGCTTTCAAGAAAGCTTAAGGTCATGTAGACAACCCAAATTCAGAGTCACAAACGATACTGAACTTGTTTCAGCCTCACCAGGACCCTATGGGAGAGGTTTACTGATCCCCATTTTACAGATGAAGAACTGAGGCTCAGAGTTTGAGCAAGCGGTGCTGTGTCACAAAGCTTTTAAATGGTATAGCTGCAGTTTGAGCTCTTATCTTCCTGATCCTGAAGCCCATGTTCTTTCTGCTGCACCAGATTGCCTCTCACTTCCTGGCTGTTAGCCAAGCACCTGGCTCCTGGCAGGCGCTCAATCAGAGTTCATCTTCCTATGTGTTTTGCCAGAAGCCCAGCCTTGCTCCTTGCTTGCTACAGTCCAGGGAAAGAAGGGTTGAGCCATTTTTTTTCCTTTATTGATTTTTAGAGAGAGGAAGGGAGAAGGAGACAGATAGAAACATCAATGAGAGAGAACATCGATTGGCTGCCTCCTGCATGCCCCCAACTGGGGATTGGGCCCACAACCAGGGTATGTGCCCTGGCTGGGAATCGAACTGGCAATCTCTTGGTGCATGGGGTCGACACTCAACCAGTGAGCCACACCTACGGGGCAAAGGATTGAGTCATTTTGACCCTTGCATTTAAACAGCTGTGCTACAGTGTAGGGGAGTCAGATGTGAGCTGTGGACGAGAGTTAGAAGATGGAGCAATAGGGACTGCACATGCCCCTTCTACAGGCCATCCAGTTCGGTTTGTTGTTTTCCAGGCCGGTTTTTGAAACCACCCTGTGATCAAATAATTCTGCAGGCTGGCCCTATCCAGCTCTCCAGCAGCCCACCGCAGCACTGAAAACCCACCTTATAAAGAGCAGGACCGCCAGGCTGTGTGGCTCAGTGGATTGAGTGCCCATGGATTAAGAGATCCCGGTTTGATTCTCGGTTGGGGCACATGCCCGGGTTGCGGGTTCTATCCCCAGTGGGGTGTGTGCCAGTGTGCAGGAGGCAGCTGATTTATGTTTCTCTCTCACATTGGTGCTTCTATCTCTTTCTCTCCCTTCCTCTCTCTAAAAAATCAATAAAGACATATTTAAATAATAAAAATAAAATAAAGGCAGGACTTTGCAATCAGGCTGATCTGTGGTCAGTCTGGCTCTGCTGTCTTAGGAGCTTTGGACACCGGCTGTGGCCTGTGTCTCCTCACCTGTAAAGCAGGCCAGATAACACCGATCAGGGTTGCTTTGAGCGGTAAGATAACACATGAAACAGTCCAGACCTAGGAGAGAGTTAGTCCTCGGTAGATGTCTGCTTCTGCCAAGCGAGTCAGAAAGGGGAAGGTGGAACATCAAGTCTCATTTTCATGACTGAGGGTGATACTTGGTCTGACTGCTGTGTTCAGAATTGGGTGAAGTACTCGATTTCTCATGGTGCCACCTTCTCTTGTCAATTAGATTAATTCTCCTCTTTGGTATAATCCCAGTGCGGGGTAAAGGAAACTGTGTCCTCTGGAGTGAGTTCAGTGAGGCGCAGGGGTCAAGTCTCACATACACTGGGATGGGTCAGTAAACGGATGGATGGATGGATGGATGGATGGATGGATGGATGAATGAATATTCTGTTTTCTTTTAGGAGCCAGCAGTCTGGGTCAGGCAGGCATCCTAGGTGGCAGACCCAAAGAGTGATTTTCTATTTTCATTTAGTGTCTTATAGCCAAGAGACTAAGCCAACTTCCCTCTGTCCCCCACCTGCAGTGTCCTTCTTGTTGCCACCGGTTTGTCAGTCCCCAACCTGGTAGACTTCCCTGGATCCGAATATGCGGAAGGTTACGAGTCCGTGTCTGTGGACCCCAAGGACTTTGTGGGTCAGAATGTGCTGATTCTGGGCCGAGGGAACTCAGCCTTTGAGACGTCAGAGAACATCTTGGGGGTCACCAACTTTATCCACATGCTGAGCCGCTCCCGAGTCCGGCTCTCCTGGGCCACCCACTATGTAGGAGACCTCAGGTATGCTACCAGTGTGCTGTGTCCTCCAGCCCCTCTAAAGCCATTCCTGATCCCAGCTGGACTAACCACCTCTTCCTCCGAGTCTCCTTGTAGCCAACACAGACTCCTTTCTCTCTCCTGGCATGTCCCTTGGGCCCCAGGGCCATCAACAACGGCCTGCTGGACACCTACCAGCTCAAGTCCCTGGATGGGCTGCTGGAGTCTGACCTGACAGATCTGGGTCTTGTGAAGGACCGCGAGGGCAGGTTCCGCATCACCCTAAAGTTCTACCTGGAGGAAAGTAACCAGACTGCCGATGCCGTCACCCTCCCCCAGGACGACAGTGACAACTTTGCCATGCGTGTGGCCTACGACCGGGTCATCCGCTGCCTGGGCTGGAACTTTGACTTCTCCATTTTCAACAAGTGAGTCCACGTGGGGGAGGAGCTGGGCTCTCATAGCAAACCCCTCCGATGCCTCCCAGCGGGAGCAGCATCCTGTCCAGCAGTGCCAGCGCCGGGGCCTTCGGGACTCCACCCTGGGCCTGGATGTGGGTGCTGCTTGGTCTCCCGCCCAGGCATGAGCTCTCTGTCCACTGAGAAGGGTCCCAAGTGGCCCTGAGTCCCTCCCTCCTGGAGCAGCAGCAGCAGTGAGTGTCTGTATTTGATCCTCCACCCAAGAGATGGGAAGGCAAGAACCAGGAGGTGAATTTGCTGGAAGGCAGCGTGGTGGCTAAGAGCGCAGGTGCTGAGTTAATCTGAGATTCTTTCTTACCAAATCTGTGAGCTCTGCGAGAGATACATAACCGTGCTTGGCCCCCGTTTTCATCACTAAAATGAGGTTCAGTTTCTTTTTCATAGGGCTATTGTGAGGATAAAGATAGGAAGCTACTTCGCATATACTATATGCTCAATGAAAGATTCACTGCTGCCCAGCTGGTGTGGCTCAGTGGTTGAGCGTCGACCCATGCACCAAGAGGTCACTGGTTCAACTCCTGGTCAGGGCACATGCCCAGACTGTGGGCCTGATCCCCATTGGGGGGCATGCAGGAGGCGGGCAATCGATTTTCTCTCTTATCATTGTTCCTCTCTCTCTCCCTCTCCCTTCCTCTCTCTCTAAAAATGAATAAAGAAAAAAAATTTTTCTTAACTGTTCACTCCTAAAATTGTTTATAATTGTATATTGAAGAACTGCTTTGTGGATCCTTGTCATTAGACATTGCAGCCCCAGTACCTTGGCAAGGCTGGTATCAAAGAATCCATCCAGGGTCTCACTTTCCTTCTTGCGAAGGCTCAGGCAGACAAGAGCCTGGAGGCCCTGAACCAGACCCTCCTGTCCCATCTGATCACATAGCACCTGTGTCAGCCCAGTGCCCAGCCTCGAGTCAGGCTTGAATCCTGACCCACCACATCCTTACCCTGAGCCTCAGTTACTCCATCTGTTAAATGGAGATGATCATACACGCCTCCTGGGTTGTGGTATGCAATAAGGAATATAAAGCACTTAGAACAGAGCCAGGTCTGTAATTAGTGTTTCATACACAGCGGCGATTTTTATTAACAACGCTTTCTGCTCACAGATCCCTCAGACTATCTTCAGGGGGTGAGTTCAAAAAGAAGTACCCACTGGTCAGAGCTAGCTACGAGTCCAAAGGAAGCCGTGGTCTCTTTGTGCTGGGTACGGCCAGCCACTCTGTGGATTACCGGAAGTCTGCCGGGGGCTTCATCCATGGATTCCGATACACAGGTGAGTCCAGACAGAACCATCGCCGGGGTCAGCAGACACACTCCAGTTTCCTGCAGCCTTAAAGGGATTGCTCATCAGAGTCGAATATCATAAATTCCATGTCTGTGGCAACGGGTTTTCGTGGTTTGAGGATATGTCTAGAAAAGCGTAGGATAAGGTATAAAAGTATGTACATCTGGGGTGGCATGTTACATGCCTGTGTCCTGTGCGGGTGAAGCACCATGTATTGGCAAGAACACTGAGCTTGAGGAATGTTAACCTGGGTTCCTCCCCAGCAGAGTGCCCTCAGAGGTTAGTTAGGCTTCATAACCTCTCTAAGCCTCTGAGGGACGCCCTGACGTCAGAGGTGTGACTGGTCTTCCGCCGCTGGTCTTTCTGGCTTCCCATCCCATCCAGCCACCATAGTACCTACCAAAACAACCTTTCTTTCTTTTTTTTTTTTTTCCTTTATTGATTTTTAGAGAGAGAGAAAGGGAGAGAGAGATAGAAACATTGGTGAGAGAGAACATCGATTGGCCACCTCCTGCATGCCCCCCACTAGGGATTTGGCCCACAACCTGGGCACGTGCCCTGACGGGGAATTGAACTAGTCACCTCTTGGTACATGGGTCGACGCTCAGCCACTGAGCCACACCAGCCTGGCAAAACAACCTTTCTTTTTTAAAAAATCTTCATCGCCCTGACCGGTTTAGCTCAGCGGTTAAAGCGTCGGCCTGCGGTCCTGAGAGACCCGGGTTCAGTTCCTGCTAAGGGCATGTACCTTGGTTGCAGTTTGTCCCCAGCTCTGGTCAGTCGTGCGGGTGGCAGCCACTCGATGTGTCCCTTTCACATCGATGTTTCTCTCTCTCTCTCTGTTCCTCTCTCTCCCTCCCATTCTACCTGAACAAAAAAAAAAATAGAAAAATGTCCTCGGGTGAGGATAAAAAAAATTTAAAAATCTTCCTCTATTTACAAAGCTTGAGTGTTCCCATCTCCGCAGGGAGAGGTCCAGCCCCTGGGCACGGCATTCAGAGCTTTGTGCAGGCCGTCAGCTCTCTCCAGCCTGGCCCTTCGCCTGCTTTTCAAAATGTGCCAGCCTCTCTCAAGATTTTATTCCTTCACATATGTGCTCCTTTTGTCAGGGCACCATTCCCAAACTTCTCTAGCTGTGTAATTCCTCAACGTTTTGCGAAACTCAGCTTAACCATGGTTTCCTCCAGAGAGTCAGATGTCTGGTGAGGCTGCATGTGTTCCTGTGACTGTGGGCCAGCTGAGTCCCCTGCCACGTGAATTGTCTGTGTCCTTGCTTTGTTGGATCGGGGTGTTGTATTGATGCATTTTGGACAAGCTGGCACCTATGTGCGGTGCCCCATTTCACAACTGCATCCGGCAGCCCCAGGTATACAGAAAAACATCTTCCTGTTGTTTTAGATAGCTGTTGCTTTTCTGTCCTTACATTTGTGTACAGAGCATCTCAAAATAGAACTTAGTGACAGATTGGAGTTAGGCTGTAAAGGAGAAGGAGCAATCAAAGGTTTTCTTTTTTTTTTTTTTTTTAATCCTCACCCAAGGACATTTTTCTATTTATCTTCAGATAGAGTGGGAGGGAGGGAGGGAGGGAGAGAGATAGAGAGAGTGATAGAAACATCAGTGTGAGAGAGACACACCAACTGGTTGCCTCCCCCATGACCCCAACCAGGGCCGGGGACAAACCGCAGCCGAGGTTCGTGCCCTTGACCAGGATTGAACCCGCTACTCTTTTATCCGCGGGCAGATGCTCTAACCGCTGAGCAAACTGGCCAGAGTAAAGCTTTGCCACCTGGGAGTCTCTGGCAGGAACAGGGACTGTGGGAAGGAGAGGTAGCCGAGGAAGGCTCTGGGTCTAGTTTTGACATGCCACGTGTGGGTGACGAAGGCGGGGCAAGCACAGACCCGGGGATCAGAGCCAGGCTCGCCCCGTCGCTTTGCTGTCCTGTGTGTGACAGGCTGCGCAGCCGAAAGTGCTTCTCGTGTGGCCTCACAGAAACCACGTGCTCGCCCCACTCTAAAGACGTCTCCTCGGCGTCATGCGTGCCGTGTGCACGGAGTTCAAGGAGTTGATGGGGACTTCTGTCCCTCCTGACGGCAAAAGATAAGCCCTTCAGTGCGGCGTGCCATTCCTTCCTCTGGCCCTTCAGTGCGCGCCGTTCACCGGCTGCTGGAGCGGCGCCACCACGGCCGCGCCTGGCCCGCCACCGAGCACCCCGCCACACAGCTGACCAGCTGCATCCTCCGGCGCGTGAACGAGGCCTCGGGGCTCTACCAGATGTTCAGCGTGCTGGCCGACGTCGTCCTGCTGAAGGAGTGAGTCCCCCAGCCCACCCCGCGCCCCTCCGCTGCCTCACCTCCCACTCGTCACCCCCTTCTCCCGCTGTCCCAGGCGTGGCGTACCCTAGTGGCTCCCTCCTAAGATGAAGCCTGAGGAGAGACGGGGGTGGGGTGGGAGAGATGGATTTATCTGGAGGGAAAGCCGTGAAATCCACACCACCGGCTCTGCAGACAGACAGACAGCCCTGAGTGAATCCAGCCGTGCCTCACCACCTGTGTGACCTCGGGCAAATTAGTTAGCCTCTCTGAGCCTGTCTCTTGCCTTCAGAATGGGGGCGATAACGCGGGCACGCAGGACTGCAGGACAGGCCGCACTTGGCACCGGGTAGATGAGCAGCAAACTGCGACACCAGTGTAGTTTAAGAGCTCCCTGGGGCCAGGACCACGTTGGCTCCTTACCAGTCAAGCGTAAGGGGACACTTCCTGGGCCGGAAACAGAGTAGAAGGGCGGGAGGGGGAGGACCTCAGAGGACAGCTGGCAGGTGGGAAGCAGAGGAAGAAGGCTGGGGGCACAGCCTGGCCCGAAGCCGGAGTGACGGCACACCGCGTTCAGGGACGGGCGATAAGCTCAGCCGAGCTCAGCACAGAAACCCCGCCATCCTGGGCCCCTCTCGCCCTCACCCCGTTCACCACATCCACACCATCTGTAAACCCCTAGGGCTCTGCCTTCAAGTCACCCAGACCTGCCTCCTCGCCCGCTCTGCCGGTCCACCTCGGGCCGAGCCACAGCCTCTCACCTGGTGCTGGTCCAGCAGCGGCTGCTCTCAACACGGTGGCTGGGGAGGGCCTTTTAACAGTCACACTGATCCCTCTCTGCTCAGTATTCTCCAGGCCCCAGTGGCTTCCCCTCGGTGCAGATGAAAGCAGAAGTTCCCACACAAGCCCTCCTTCACTTGCCCCTGGGGATCCCCAACCACCTCTCCAGCCCCTCCCCCGCACCTCCACTCCAACCGCTCTGGCCTTCCTGTCCCTTGAACACTCCAAGGCGTTCACCCTGTCCCCCAGCTTTTCCGTCACTCTTCCGACAGCCTGCATCACCCTCTCCCCGACAGCCAGGCCAGGTTCCTTAGTTTCCTGGAGGCCACCCCACGTGTAAGTCAGGCTCAGCTGGGAGTAATACTGATGTTAGATGTGCAGGCTGATCAGTCTGTCTGCTGTCTGATTGTCACTTCTTGGAGACACGACACACAGACCCACATACACTTGCCTCTCACCTGTGCTGCAGCACTGAGGGTCTTGCCTCCCCTTTGCCATGACCCCCAGGAACGCCACAGCATTCGAGTACCTGGAGGAGTTCCCCATGCAGATGCTGGCCCAGCTGGAGACAGTCACAGGCAGGAAAGCCAGGCATGGGCTCTTTGTCATCAACATGGAGTATGGAAAAAATTTCTCTGGACCCGACAAGGATGTCTTCTATTACGACCGGTCTGTGGGGCACACGGAAGATGCCTGGCAGTCCAACTTCCTCCACCCCGTCATCTACTACTACAGGCACCTCCCCACCGGTGAGCTGGGTCTCTGCTCTCCCTCCCACACGGGCTGTCTTGAGGTGGGCACTCCTCGGGCCCCACTGTGTATCAGGCATCACCATTAATCCCTCACACAACACTCTCAGCTGACAGAGGAGCACCTCTGGGGACTCTGCCCAGTGACCAAATGGGACAGAAGGTCCAAGAATGATCAGTGATGTTCCCAGATTCTGGCCTGTGCCATGACCTGGGCAGGCCACACATGGAGTGTCATAATCTCCAGACACCACATAGTAAGAGGGACACTGTCTTGCTCTGTATCTCCAAAGGAGGCTGACCATGGAGTGGGGAGGGGGACTTGGAGACTATCAGAAGGAACGGGAAAGGCACTAGCGTGGTTAGTGCAGGAACAGAGCCATAGAGTACAGAACAGCTGGGACATACTCCCAGGTCTGACCTGTCCTTGTCTGTAACCTTGGCCCATTTATTAACCTCTTTGAGCCTTAGCTTCCTCATCTGTCAAATAGGGATAAAAACAGTACCTTCCTGCCCTGGCCGGGTTGCTAAGTGGTTAGAGTATCGGCCCGCGGTCCAGAGTCTCGGGTTTGGTTTCCGCTAAGGGCACGTACCTCGGTTGCAGTTTGTCCCCGGCCCCAGTTGGGATCGTGTGAGTGGCAGCCAATTGATGTGTCTCTCTCACATCAATGCTTCTCTCTCTCTCTTTCTCCCTCTCTCCCTCTCGCTCTATCTGAAGATGTATGCAAAAATGTCCTCGGGTAAGGATTAAAAAAACAAAAAATAAATAAAAACAGTGCCTTCCTTTCTCGTCTGAGGATAAATGAGGTAACGTATACAGAATGCCAGCACAGTGCCTGGCAAGAGTAGCCACCAGGACTCCTGCTTCAGAACTTGAAGGGCTGTTACTTGGAAGAGGGTGATCTAAAAAAGGGCAGAGGTAGTATCAACAGGTAGAAGTGACAGGAACACAGGTTTGTATCCAATATAAGGAGCAAGTAATAATCAGAGCTGTTCTACAGTGGAATGGCTTCCCCTATAGGGATGGTTGGGTCACGGCTTGAGCCATCTGACAGGGACACCGTAGAAAGGAGTCCACAACCAGTGGGAGATGGACTAGATGAGCTCTAAGGCCCCTTTGGATGCAGAACCTGAGCCTCCTCACAGAAAGACCAGTTTTGAAGCAGTCACAAAAGACCTCAGTCTATATGAGACTTTGTGAGACATCAAGTTCAAGTGGTTAGTCTTGGCTCTGCCCTCTGATACCACAAGGGGCAGGTCTAGTTTTGTCTCACTTCCTCATGCTAACCTTCCAAACATTTGGAGATAGCTGTTGAACAAGCTGTCCACGGCCAGTGTCAAGGTGGACCAGCAAAGCCGAGCATGAGCGAGCGAGGTAGGCACTGGGGTGTGCAGGAACCACGCTGTCGGCTCCAGGATGGGAAGGCCAGCTGCTGGGCTTTAATGTGGCCCCTGCATTTTCCCCACAGAGCAGGAGGTGAGGTTCCGCCCCGCAGACTGGCCCCTGCCTCGGCCCACAGCCATCCACCACATCGTGGAAGATTTCTTGACAGACTGGACTGCCCCAGTGAACCACATTTTACCTCTGAGGCGCTTCCTAGAGAACTGTTTGGACACCGATTTGCGAAGCTTCTATGCAGGTAACTTAAGTTCCCAGATTGAGAAGAGACCAAATAGATCCATGGCCTGTGCTGTTTCAGGGTACACATCTAGAAACCCAACCCAAGACTTCTATTTCCTACAACATGCTGACTAGGTGTTCACAGAAACCCCTCCTAGGACAGGACGCCTGGAAACACAGTATAAGAGGTCTTTGTTAAAGACCTGGCAGGAAAATAAAGAAACCACCCAGTGGCCAGATACTAAGAAAAGCATAAACCCAAGCTAGACATGGGTTATCTGCTGGTCATCAGTAGGCTAGAGTCTGGGTAATTGAGCAGCACTTGTGGATAGGACAGTGAGGCTGGAGCAGGGTGAGGTGTGTTTAGAGTCTCAGTGGGTAAAGTAGGGGGCAAAAAACACTCCCAAGATGGAGATGGTGGAGACACATGCTCTTGGCTCTGGGTAGAGTGGGGGCAAATTGCCCCTGAGAATTTCCAACAATTAGGCCTCATGTGTTTGGGGCCAAACAGCACACTGCCATTGTGGTACAGAAATCACAGAAGTAATTGCAAGTCTTCTGTGAAGAAACACACATTAAAACTAGGCCTTAAAAAATTCCCACAGATAGCCCTGGCCGGTTTGGCTCAGCGGTTAGAGCGTCGGCCTGCGGTCCTGAGAGACCAGGGTTCGGTTCCCGCTAAGGGCATGTACCTCGGTTGCAGTTTGTCCCTGGCCCTGGTTGGGTCGTGTGGGTGGCAACCACTCGACGTGTCCCTTTCACGTCGATGTTTCTCTCTCTCTCTCCCCCTCCCACACTCTATCTGAACAGAAAAAAAAAAAATTTCCACAGATAAAGTTTCAAGGAACATGAACTCCCAAGCAAAATTCGCTTAGCACATAGGGACACAAACCACCCTGAGGGAGTGTCAGCAGAAATACAAACTAGTATCAAACCAGAAAGACTGCAGGAATTGGAGTGGTCAGATAGAGGATATAAAGTCTGGCTAAAGTATGTGGTGAAATTGTTGAAAATACAATTGCCTGGGCAGTTTTGAGAAAAATCCACATAAAACTTCTGGAAATGAAAAAATAAATTAGTTATTAGAAACTCAATATGAAGACACAGAAACAAATTAGACAGAGATGAAGAGAGAATTGGTGAACTGGAAGATAGCTCTGACAGCCAAATGAAAGAGGGACTTGGGGAAAAAAGTCTAATACAGAGGGAGAACTGATTGAAACAGGTAAAATTTTTGTCTTCTTTTAATCCTCTGAATGCCTAGTATAACACTGACCTCTTTTCTGTTCAGCAAACATCTGTCAAACACCAATTGTATATAAGGTACTATTCGTATCAAATCAGGTTAGAGACGGTCAGTTCCTAGCCTGCAGGTCAGAGAGCAAGTGTCCTTGTTTCATCCCCAGGTGATATCCTCAGTCCACTTTGAAGTAAAAATGTATATATTAAGGGAGATGGCTTAAAATGGTAGTTTAAGTTAATAGTCTAAGTATTGTAGATACTCCAACAGAGGTAGTTCATAGAGCTGAGTACTAGCGTTCTGCAGACTGTCAGCCCACACATGAAATTCCACGGTACAGGTCTAGAAGCTTCAGCTGCAAAATCCCTGCCTGCTTCTCAAGGTTTCAGGAGGACACAAAGATGCCAGTGTCTGTTAGGGAACATATTCCCACCCTGAGTTTTGGCTCCTACCAATGCATCATCACAGGCCCTTTAGCCTCCTGGCTCCCGCTCTCTAGACACTGTTCAACAGTACAAGCCACTATGTGTCACTGCCTTGAACTTGGAAGAATCCTGCCTGGCAGAGGAGCTGCTGGCAGAGGATGGGCTTTCTCTCCACCCACTTGGAGGATGTGCAGCTGCCAGTTCCAGCCCCAGGTTCTGCTGGGCTTCTCTGCCCCTGGCCCCTGCTGAAGGGGCCATGCACACCCTCAGAACGTGGTGCTTGCCAAAAGGCCACCCTGCTGCCCTCCCCCATCCTCCCCGCACACCTGCAGGTCTTCCCTGCTTGGAGAGGATTGTCAGGGCCTGTTCTGCCAGGGACCCTCTGCTGTAAGTCAGAACTAAATTCTTTAAATCAAAGTTGTGTAATATTCAGCTATAAGGCTTTTTTCCCACCTCCATTCTCATTCTTCAGAAGGAACTGCTTACTTCTAGCTCTTGTGGTGGTTTCTTCCTGTTTCTAAATGATAAGTTCCCACACTGATACCCTGATTGGTCAGTTTGACCTACACACCAACTGCTGTGGCACAGACGACGGTAAATCACAGGCAGGATTGACCTGTTCTGTCTTTATAACCCCACGATGCTGAGAACATGGCTCACAGTGTTTGCAACTCCGATATTGTTGAGAGGATAAATCTTTGCAGGCAGCTCTGAGCTTGAAGTGGGACTGAGGGTCACTCCCACTGGCTGAGTCCCCGCAGCAAGCTGGCCCAGGCAGAGCATCCTGCTGGGCCCAGTCTCTGGAAGCTGAGTCATTTCTGTGGTTTGCTTTCATTTTGGAGCCTTGTTCTTCCCAAATGTCAGGGCAGCCTGTTCCTGGAACTACTGATGGCTGTTTCGTGGCCACTTGGGTCATAAGTGAAATACCCAGAAAAGTCAGCTCCCAGGCTCAGGGATAGAGGATCCTGGGGCCCAGCAGCTCCTCCCCCAACACCTCTCAGCCCAACTCATTCACCTCCTCTTGTTTTTCTGTAGAGTCCTGTTTCCTGTTCGCCCTAACACGCCAGAAGCTGCCACCCTTTTGCCAGCAGGGGTACCTGAGAATGCAGGGGCTGCTGGGAACCCGGAGCCTCCTGCAGCACAGAGTGGAGAGTGGGCTCCTGCAGGACCATGCCGCTGCGGGCAGGCACAGGGAGGACAGTCGCCAGTGGCCTGGTGACCACGAGCCAGTAGATCCACCCCCGGCTCCAGGGCCTCTGGTCCAGCCCCTCAACAGCAACAAGGAGGAGCTGTGATGCCCAGGTCTGTCCCGAGGCCCACAGCCAGCCTGCCTCCTCACAGCCCGTGCTCCCACCTCTGTGTGCTTGCCAAAGACCTCTCGGATCATGGCAGTGGCCACACCAAAGCCACACAGAGGGCGCATAGGGCCAGGGGCGGCCTTGCGGTGGTCTCCTCCCCTCTGGTTGGGCCACAGGTGCCCAGGAGGCAGGGTCCAGAGAAGGGCATCCCCTGCCAGGCAGGAGCTGCCTTGCACAGCCGGGCTTGTCTGCAAGTGAATTGTCGCTGAGCACCAGGCTGGCCTCAGTGCTATCCCCTCAAGTGCCCAGCGGTCCTTTTACTTTTGGTCTACTCTTCAGATGGTGGAGCATTTCACAGATAGAACCTGTCCTCCTCTTCATGAGGGTTTGTGGCAGGCTCTTGAAAACGAGCTCTGGTATCCTCAGCCACATAGGGTGGGTAGGACTGTCACCCCTGATGAAGACACCGGCTCAGAGAGGTTAGGTGACTCCCAGGGTTTCAGCCAGGAGTTCCTCTCTGGGCAGCCCTAGAGCCTGTCCCCCCACTCCACACTGCCGCCCCCACCCCCGCCCCTGTTTTCAGAAAGGGGAGCAGGGACCTGTGCTCATGGTCCTGGGCTCAGGGCTGTCATCGGGCAGAGATGGCCATCTTAGCTAAGAGGTTTCTTCCTGAGCAGAACTCAGAGCTGCTTCCCCCCGAGGACCACCTCCCTGATGTACCTTCAATCTCTGCTTTCTCACCTGCCCTGACGTCCTGAACAACGCCAGGCCTGCCGATCGCTCGGTGGGGGTGCTTCGGCAGGGGACTGCCCCGCTGTTTGAGCAGAGCCCCAGAGCCCCGCTCAGCTGGTGCTGAGACATTCACAAATGCACTTGCATGATAACGATGATGCATTTAGTTTCCTGTCCCCTTAGCTGTTCTGGCTCTTCATTGTCCTTTCTCGCCAGAAATCTGTTTCCTTCTTTACTCTCCCCTGGGGCATTTCAGTCCTATTTATGAGTAAGCCATGGGAAAGCATTGTACATAAAATAATCATGGTGGTTTTTCAAGGCCGGGATCATAGGTGTTTGCTTTCTTACTGGTTCTTACTAGCCCTTCATGTAGCCACTCAGAATTTGAGGGACCCGAACTTTCTGGTTCCACGACGGTTTTCTGGGACCATTCTCTTGGCTTGGTTCAAATCCCCCCACACCCCCACACCCCCACCCCACCCCCCACCTGTCTACAGACACAACTGCAGCCGAGGTGGCCTGTGGCAGGAGGTGTTCACCCACCTCAATTCTTGGCACAGTCTGCACGCAGCTTAAACTTCTGAATTGGCCCCGGCCTGTTTGGCTCAGTGGTTGGAGCATTGGCCTGTGGACCAGAGAGTCCCGGGTTCGGTTCCTGCTAGGGGCACATACCACAAAAACAAAAACAAAAAAACTTCTGCATTGGCGGTCTCTCCCCAGTCCCAGGGCGCCGGGTTCACTGCGTCTCGTACAGACTGCAGGTAAGCCAGAACGGCCCAGCGGCCACCCTTCCCTTGTGGAAGTGAGTCTTCTTTAGGGCTGCACCCACAATATCAGTTCTGTCCAGACGCCTTGCCTACCCAATTCTGAAGACTGGCTGAGCCCTTTTCCAATAAAAGTTCGAGGTGCTGAAACGGATAGTTTGCTGATGCCTGATTGTGTGACATCTGCTGCTTTGCCCGTCGTCTGCCAACTTAATTCCATCAGAGTGGCAGCCAGCCTTATTTGTGTTTAATAAAACATGGTTCCTTTCTTGCTCAGCTGCTTAGAGTTGTCCGAGCAATGTCCCTGGTATTCTTGTACATTCATAGTTGGCTTCAAACAAAGACTTTTTTCCTGAGAAAGTCATCCCTGTGTTTGCTGGAGGGCCTATCTCGACCTCCTAGCACCTCGCTTCCAGCTGGACCAAGTTCCTCTGCTAGCCACGGCCTGACTTCATCAATTCTGTCTTCTTTTTTTTTTTAATATTACAGTTACTGGTGCAAAATAGACTAATCAGTGAAATAAAAGGCCAGAAACAAACAAAAAAAGGGCAGAAACACCCTATTCTGTGTAAGAAGGAGATGATTTTTTTTTTTTTTAAAGAAATCACAAACCAATGGGAAAGATTGTGCAGGACCACGCAGTAAATAACACTGGACAAACTGGTCAGTAATTTGGAAAAGAAAATGCATCTCATTTAGACCTGTTTCATATTATACTTCAAAACTAATTCCAGATGTATTTTTTCTTTTTTATTGATTTTTAGAAAGAGCAAAGGAGAAGGAGAGAGAGATAGAAATATTGATGAGAGAGAACATCAGTTGGCCGCCTCCTGCATGCCCCCCACTTGAGATGGGGCTCACAACCTGGGCATGTGCCCTGACCGGGAATCGAACTGGCGACCTCTTGGTACATGGGTCGACGCTCAACCACTGAGCCACACCAGCCAGGCCCAGATGTATTTTTAAAAGCCACATAGAAACTAGAGATGAAGAGGGAATAGTTTAATAAAAGAAAGGCATTTTAAGTTTAGAAGCAATAGAGTAATTCCCCAGACAAAAAGGGTTAGCATTTCCAGGTGCACCCATCTAACCTGTATCTAATTAATGGGACTATTTTAAAGAAAATGGTAAAAATTAAAAGGCAAAACAGCATGGGCAAAAAAATAATTACAGCAGAATATAACAAAAATAACAACTACCTTTATTATATATAGAACTGATTGAAATGACTGAGAAAAATGAAGTTAAGTAAACTATGGTACATTCACCCAATGGAACATACAGCTCTCAAAACTAAAGTGTGAAAGACAGTGTAATACAAATACGTGCGTCATAAAGCTAAGTGAAAAGAAGCAGGATATGAAATTGTAGTTGTAGCTACTTTAAATTAGATAAAAACAGAAACCCACATACTACAGAAGGGAAGAGAAACATCACAAAATGTCATCCGTGGTTGTGTTAGGTTTGCAGGGGTCAGTTATTTTGTTTTTTCTTTGGCTTTCTCCTCTTGTCCAAATTTCTGGTTATACTGTATAATGAAATAAGTACATTTTTTAAAACCTCATCTGTTTTTGGAATTTAAAATTGCTGGGGTCAAGTGGAACTGGAGCCCTTCTCAGAAGGTATGCTCTGCCCCCTAGTCCAGGTGGAGCCCTGCCCCCCTTGTCCAGGTGGAGCCCTGCCCCCCAGTCCAGGTGGAGCCCTGCCCCCCAGTCCAGCCCTTCTCAGAAGGTATGCTCTGCCCCCCAGTCCAGGTGGAGCCCTGCCCCCCTAGTCCAGCCCTTCTCAGAAGGTATGCTCTGCCCCCCAGTCCAGGTGGAGCCCTGCCCCCCTAGTCCAGCCCTTCTCAGAAGGTATGCTCTGCCCCCCTAGTCCAGCCCTTCTCAGAAGGTATGCTCTGCCCCTCTAGTCCAGGTGGAGCCCTGCCCCCCTAGTCCAGGTGGAGCCCTGCCCCCCTAGTCCAGGTGGAGCCCTGCCCCCCTAGTCCAGGTGGAGCCCTGCCCCCCTTGTCCAGGTGGAGCCCAAGGTATCATTCCCCACCTCCCCAGCTAGGAAGACACTGCACCAAGTGCTGGGGGAGAAAATGTTCTCAGTGAGTAGAAGTGAATTTCAGGTGGGGTGTGTTCCTCTCCTAGAGTCTTTGGACTGATCCAGCACAACAGAGACCTCTGGAAGAATCTCACTCCCACGTGATAAAAAGTGAAAGATTAAAATTCTCACTTTGTGGAGGTCTCCTGGATGTCATCACCAATCCCTTGTAGAACCCCAGATTCCTTTTACCTGATAAAATAGGGGTGTACCTAAAGCTGCCTAGAAATTGACTCACCAATAAGTGAATTTGTCTACGAAGCTAATCATAATATCTAATCATTTATTGAGTACCTACTGCGTGCCCAGAATTGTACTCTGGTGGTTTTAAAAATATGTACACAAATTCTTTGGTATTTCTCCCCCAAAGAGGTGGAGCGGAGTTCCTTCCTGTTAGGTGTGGGCTGGACTTAGTTATTCACTTCTAACAAATAAAACACATCAGAAATCACAGGGTGTCATTTTCAAGATTTATTGAAAAGACACATTCATCCACCAAGAGACTGCTTTCCTCCCCTCCCCCCACTCTCTCGTCCCTCGCTGGGGGAGGCCACCTGTCATGTCAAAAGGACATCCAGCCCTGGCCAGTTTGGCTCAGTGGTTAGCCCGAGGACCAATGAGTCTCGGGTTCAATTCCAGTCAGGGGCACGTACCTTGGTTGTGGTTTGTCCCCAACCTTGGTTGGGGTCCTGCGGGAGGCAACCAGTTGATGTGTTTCTCTCACGTCGATGTTTCTCTCTCTCTCTCTCTCTCTCTCCCTCTCCCTCCCTCCCACTCTTTATCTGATGATAAATAGAAAAATATCCTCGGGTGAGGATTTAAAAAAAAGGACATCCACTATGTAGAGGACCACATGGCAAGGAACTGGAAGCTGCCAACAGCCACGTGAGTGACCCTGAAAGTGACCGTGCTCCAGTCCAGCCTTCGGACGACAGCTCTGGCCGCCACCTGGAACACAGCCCCATGAAAGACCCTGAGCAGAACCGCCCGGCTAAGCAGCTCCCTGATCCCTAAGCCAGAGAAACTTTGAGATGATGTTTGTTGTTTTGAGCTGCTAAACTTGGGGGGTTGTTATAGCAGGAGCTAACTAATACATGTGCTAATAGCTTACCTACATTCATCCCATTCTCACCACAATCACTATCCCCACTTTACAGATGAGGAGCCTGAGACAGAACAGTTACACAGCAAGTCAGTGGTGTGGTGCTTCAAAAATCCATCTCCTTCGAGCCAACCTCTCAATATGAAATACAGCAACCATTCCCATGCCCCCATCCCTATGAGTTCCCTTCATGTGACTAATGGGTGGCAAGAAATCGAAACCAGCCCTGGCCGGTTTGGCTCAGCGGTTAGAGCGTCGGCCTGCGGTCCGGAGAGACCCGGGTTCGGTTCCCGCTAAGGGCACGTACTTCGGTTGCAGTTTGTCCCAGGCCCTGGTTGGTCGTGCGGGTGGCAGCCGCTCGATGTGTCCCTTCACATCGGTGTTTCTCTCTCTCTTTCTCTCCCTTCCTCTCTCCCCCACTCTATCTGTACAAAAAATGGAAAAATATCCTCGGGTAAGGATAAAAATAAAAAATAAAAAAAAAGAAATCGAAACCAAGCAATTCTCAAACATAGGGAAGTGTGGTTCCCTCAGGAGGACAGAGATGTGTTGAAATGCTGATTGCACAAAAGGTACCCTTAGAGCACTAATCCACGGCATCAGACCAGGGGTCCTGTGGCCCCCGCAGGGTGGGATGGCTCTCACCAGGCTACAGCCTCAGCATCCTCAGCGCTCCGACCAATCACAGCCTCACCCCCACAAGCCAAATTGGATTCTTCCCTAGAAAAGAAACCAGAGGCTGCATCATTTCACTGAAGATTTTTAAATATGGTAGAAATGCTGACTAGGGAATGGTTTTTGTCAGACCTCGGGCT